TCAACTAAGTAGGTTTATATTTATTTATATAATATTTCACTTGAATAACTTTTTTTGTTACCAGTGTTGCCAACCTTTTGCAATTGAAATACTCAATTTGCAAAATAGAAATACCCAAAATACCCATATAAAAAATACGTATAGAGGCGAAAATTTTTTCGGGTGCAACACATAAAAACGTGTTATTTAAGCCTTCAAAAACAATTTTTTTTTTTCGAGTACTCGCCGAAAAACCTTTATTTCAAGCCTTAAAAAAATAATATGTGCATGGGAGTCATGGGACTCGCCGAAAAAACATGGATAACTCCAGAGAATCCCCAAAATTTTGTGAAGAGATTTTGCTATGTGTTCTGTTTCATGAAACTTTCTCTCTTCTCTTCTTTCGAAGTGGTGTCTATCGCTATTGCTGCTACGGCTCAACCTTTTATTAAAGGAATTCCTAATTCTGACGTCACAAATTACAAAACATAACCTTGCTTTATTGAGTTAAGCTATCTAGTTTATGAGTCATATTTATATTACAATGATATTGGCATACGCAAGTTATATTATAAATCCCTATGTTATTGTTATATACATAATTCTCCTTTTCAATGTTAAATATAAGCGTACGCCACTGTGAAAGCTCACGATATTATAAAGATGCTGAATAACCGGTACTGCCTGGAAAAGTGCCGCCCTATGGTACCGTCATATCAACGTTTCAACCACACAGCTGCACTGTCAGCAGTATTTTAATATAAATACGGCGCGCAGAGCTTCTCAACTCATTCATTTGTATTGTAGCTTAGACTATAGCAATTTAGAATCAAGATTCTTTTGTTATCGGCTTTTCGCCGCAGCAATTAGGTTTTAGCAGTTTTTGTTGTAAATTCTTAGTTTTTAATAAAATAAATAGTTTTTAAAACCAAGATTTACTAAACGAAAAATAATAATTCGCACCTATCGTATACCCCTACCTATTCAACATGTCAATGTCAACCTGCTTTGGGTGCGTTCGTGACTCGTGTTCGTTTAGTCAGAGTTCGTTGGGCCGTTCGTGTTCTTTAGGTTGGTTGGTTGAGTACAATGTGTTTTAAAACGCATGACGTCATGGCATGGACGAACGTCGAAGTTTGATGATTAATGTTATGTCGTATTAAATTACCCAAATATGACCTTATAACTTTTTTTTACCCAATTACTCAAATAAGGATTTTGAGGAAAAAAATACCCAAAAATTGGTTACCCAGCAGTTGGCAACACTGTTTGTTAATGATACTTCCAATATCTATTCTAAAATACTTGAATTTCTACTTGATTATGTCAAATATTTTTCTTGAAGTATTTTGAGCACCCTACTTATAATAAATAAGTTCTCTTGATTTTCTTTAAATAATAATTATTGCAAATTATCTATCTTTCTATCTATCAAATATCAAAATATGACAAAACATTTTCGAATCTTGAATTAGTACATAGGATAGGTACCTATTTGATTATATTTAAACCCATACCTATATTTATAGAGAATTCAATGCTCTTTCCAATAGTATATAATTTATTCCAATTTGCTCAAAATTTAACAAAGATATGGGCAATTGCTCATGACCATGTCGAGATTTTGAAAATTTTTCAGAGCCCTAAATGGGAATAGGATTTCCTTTTTATATATTTTTTCCAACTTAAAATGGCCATTTGGAATAATGTCAGGATGGTTCTTCACTAATTTAGACCTACTATATCGATTGGTAGAGTCAAAATTGAGCAAAGCTGAAAATTTAAAAAATCGAGTAAATCTTCAAACCTCAATAATTGCTCGGTATCCATTGGGCAAACTGCATTGACATTTTCAGCATTTGTAGCTCTATTAGGCCCTAAATGGCTTGGAATTCAAAAGTCAGATTTGAGGTTCAATTACTCAAAAACTCACTAGTTTTGACCCACTCTCTCGATTAATAAAATCAACATTGAGCAAAAGTGAGCAATAAAAAAATCCAGTTTCTCATAAGGGTACCCCCTTTGAATTTTATTTCAAAATATTCAAACCTCAATTGCTTAGTAACCGTTGAGCAAATTATATTGAAATTTTCAGCATTCATAGCTCTTATCAAGCTCTAAAAGACCTGTTATTTATAATATTCCTAATTTTATAGATTTTGAGAAAACTGAGTTTGAAGTTTTTGACAAAATTTAGACAAAAAGTCAAATTTGAGGCTCAATTACTCAAAAACTTTCTGAGTCATCAAACTCAATTTTGCATAAATTTATAGAGAATCTAATGCTCTTTCCAATGGTACATAATTTATTTTAATTTGCTTGATATTTAACAAAGATATGGGCAACTGTTTATGACCATGTCAAGATTTTGAAAATTTTCAAGAGCCAAAAATAAGATTTCCTTTTTTTGTTTCTGTTTGAAATGGCCATTTGAAAATGATGTCAGGGTTGTTTTTCACTAATTTTAACCTACTCTATCGATTAATAAATTCAAAATTGAGCAAAAGTGAGCAAAAGTGAGCAAAAGTGAGCAATAAAAAAATCCAGTTTCTCATAAGGGTACCCCCTTTAAATTTTATTTCAAAATATTCAAACCTCAATTGCTTGGTAACCGTTGAGCAAATTATATTGAAATTTTCAGCATTCACACCTCTTATCAAGCTCTAAAAAACCTGTTATTCATAATATTCCCAATTTTATAGATTTTGAGAAAACTGAGTTTGAAGTTTTTGACAAAATTTAGACCAAAAGTCAAATTTGAGGCTCAATTACTCAAAAACTTTCTGAGTTATCAAACTCAATTTTGCATAGATTTATAGAGAATTTAATGCTCTTTCCAACGGTGCATAATTTATTTTATTTCCTACTGAACTATTACAACCATATAATACCTTGGTTACGATAATCATAAACAGGGTCCTAACTCCCAAGGCAGTTAAGGATTTCATAACTCCCGCGGGAGTTAAGGATATCATAACTCCCAAGGGAGTTAAGGATTTCCATGACTACCGCTTTTACCTTGAATAGGTGAGACTTTGACAAAAAATAGAAATTTTGGTTTATGGTTTATTCTTTTATAAAATCATAATTCCCTTGATACATAAATAACTATTAATTTGCTCGAAATTTAACAAAGATATGGGCAACTGTTTATGACCATGTCAAGATTTTTCTGTTTAAAATGGCCATTTGAAAATGATGTCATAATAATAATTTTGACTCACTCTATCTATATTGGTAAAATCAAAATTCAGCAAAAGTGGAAAATGAAAAAATCGAGTTTTTTATAAGGGTACCCCCTTTGAATTCTATTTCAAAATATTCAAACCTCAATTGCTTGGTAATTGTTGAGCAAATTACATTGAAATTTTCAGCATTCGTAGCTCTTATCAAGCTCTAAAAGACCTGTAATTTACCAATCACCAAAGTACCTAAGGTACTTTTATTACTTTATAAATAGCATAAAGCTCGGACAAGATACCAATAGGATTATACTTACTGTGAATAACTAAAAAAATAAGGTACTAAGAATTGTCATGTTGTCAACAGATATTAGATATTTGAAGTACCAAAATTACTTCAAGTAATTGCTTTAAGTAATTTATTCAAAGTACTTTACATACTCCAAGTACTAAAATATACTTCAAAGTAATGCCACTTTACTTGAAGTTCAATGTTTTTAATTGAAGTAAATTACTTGATGAAATTTAAATAAATTTCAAGTTTAATTGATAATCAAAGTAAAATTTCAAAAAATTTGTAGGTACCTACTTGTATTTCAAGTAAATCTATTTAATATATTTACTTTATACTTGTACTTCAAGTACTTTCGTAATGTATTTGACTTGTGCCGGTTCTGTATAGGTATGTTTAAATACTTACAGAGATGGACATATCTTATCGCAAATTTATCATAAGAAGGGAATTTTGAAGAAATCAGCCAGTATAGATGTAGAGAAAAACTACAGGATTTTAAACTACAATTGAAACTTTCTTAAATGGTAAATGGTATGATGGTTTGATCTTAAAATGACGGTTTCCTAAGTTATCTTGGTAATTCAAAAGTTTATTTGCTGCTTTCCTAAATTAATTTAGTTTTTCTAAACTACATTTGAAACATTTCGAAATTTAAGCGGTTATTCCAAAATACTACCTAATGATACTTTCTTAAATATAAATTATTCATTCCATTATTCATATGGGGATTTCTCAAATACAAATGACTATTCTAAAATACAATTAATTGAAGATTTCTAAAATACTGTCGGAAAAGGTGAAGCACCTCTATATCTTTGATGTAGTATGGGTTTCATATTATGTAACAGTACTAGCTCTAACTTTGATCGAATGAAGGACACAGATTTTTCTTATATAAATCATTATTATCTTTTAAACCTGGTTGTACTAAATATACATAGTTGACTTTAAGATGTGAATTTATGACAGAAGGAAGAATTGGTAATGGTTAGAATGACTTACTGTTTGGGAAGTGACTATAGAGTATCAAACAACTTTGTAATTTGATTTTTTTCCTTGTATCACTCTGTAAGAAAATATTGCACTGTGAGTGCGGACACCCTGTATTTCTAATTATTATATAGTACTGATCTTAGTATGTCCCTTAACAATTGTAATGTTCGTTTATGGCAACCGCCAAAAAGGGTGATATTCCGCCAATTACTTATTACTGCAACCTTCAAAGCGTTGTTCCTTTTAGATGGCAAAATCCTGACCCGTTTCAAGATCAAAAAAAAAAAACATCCTAAATATGCACACAACAAGAAAAAAAAAAGGCGCAGCCTGTTTTAAGACAATGGACGGAGGGAACCCATTAAAAATAAAAACCGACCATGATGCGACGGGTGTTTCACACCTTGGTTAATGCCTTCTTAATAGGCGTGGGGGCGCTGCAGTTCACACCTCGTTTCCATTCATGCGTTGTGGGGTGCACTTCAATCTGCCTTCGTCATCATCAGCCGATTGTTTTTTTTTTTTACACCCCAAGGGTTGACAGGATTTACGTCTCGCTTGCTCCTTCTTTCTTTCTTTTTTTCTTCGGCCCATTGGCCCTTGTGGTTAAGAACACGTTAACTTTGTTAATTAGAATGACGTGTTGAAGTTGGATTTTATTTCCAATTTGCAAGGCCTATATAGATTTAATTGATAAGACATTTCTAATAGAGATGGCGTTAGTAGTACCTACCTAGTTGGAAAAAAAAGCAGTAAAGGATATGTTGATAAAATAAGACGACGAAAAGTAAAGAAGGCCTAAATCTTGTTGGTTTTCTGCATATTCTGATGATTCTAATTTCTATTCATACAATCGATGAACAGAACCAAAACCAACATGGTTCCGCTTCAATCTTAAAATTTACCTACAAGTTTAAATAGTTGTCAATTTTTAATGGGTTAAGTAATGTTGTGTAAGTGAGAGTGAAGACTATTTGTGAAACTTTCATTAGTTAGTGCAAATTGAACCATTTTCCGCTAAATTTTGAAAACTTTTGAGGTATAAGATTCCCTTCTGTATAGGAAGATTTCTGCTGAATTCAGTAGGTGGGAAATTCCTGTTCATTTTCAAGGTTGAAGAAGAGTGAATCTGCATTGAAGTTCTGCGTCACCAAGACCCATGCTGTATCGCCTGTCTTGGCCTGTTCCAACCAAGCTGCCTTGACAGAGATTCCAAGAATCACTCTAAGATAAGTAGGAATAAGATATAGGTAGGTACTGCTCCTTATAATTTTAGGTTAGTTTTTGAAGTTTTCCATCTTCAACTGAAGGTTTCTTGAAAGATTCCATATAGGTACCTATAGTTATTGCTGTTTAAATCCAGATCGAAAACTAAACTCAATTCTTTACAATCATTTTCTAAAATTTGCACCAAATTCACTATGTTTGTTAAAGTTGGGTTGTTGTAGCTTAGGCTAGGAAAAGGGGGTGAATAGGGGGATGTAACTAACGTGCACTTATATGAAATTCCTTTGGGCCATCGGCACAATTTATTACCGGCCAAAGGCAATTACGCGGAGGGCCCTAACCCTTTCACATAAACGGGTTTAATTGCCTGTAAGATAAATTGTACACTGTATGTTCCGGTAGTGTGACAAATTTCAATTTAGAGGGAGAATATTTCCTGCGTTTAACCTAAAAATTACACCGCGTCTGTATCTTATTTTCCAATTTTCTTCGTTGTAAGGGGGGCTCCTCTGACGTTCGCCTCGGAAAGTCTTTATTGGAAATTCCGATTCTGCCGTCAGACAGTTAATTTGAAAGGCGAATGAGTATATAAAATCGCGGCCCCGGCTCCCTGTCTTCCTCTCTCCCTATCCCGCCTAAATGCCCCAAATAGCTTTTACGCCAGCTTAATTCGTTTAATAATCGTTTCGGCACGCAACTTCATCGCATTCCCACCATTATATTATCTTTTATTGATTGGGTCGGTTAGTTAAGAGTTTGTTGCTCCAGGAAACGAAGCCTGTCGAACTTTACACATTTATATTTACAATAATTATCCAGGCAATAATGAATGTATAGTTATACATACACTTACATACCTCTGCTTATTCGAATTTCAGTATTACTGGAAGTTAGTTATGGTGAAGAATAATTTTGAAAGATTATTATGGCTTGTACTATGGACAGGTATTTCAATATATTAGTATGTATGATAACTCCGCCTGGAATGACAAATGGGTGTAGTTTAGGGTTCAGGAATCACTATTGCTGGTCCTAAGCCCGGATAAAACATCCTTGTTATGAACCCGATCAACCAGTCTTGTAACACGGGGCGGATACTTTGAAGACGACTCAGGCAAAGAAACTGGGAACTGACGTTGAATAAACCCAGATGTCGCTACTAAACGAGCCTCGAAAATCTAAAATATCATTGGCGGCGATTCAGGGAAAACAAAATGGCTTGGAAATGAAATCAAGGACGCAAAAACCAATACAATTTTGAAGAGCGGAAAGGAGACTTGGATTAAAAAGAGTTCGGAGTTGCCTTCATTGTACACAACAAGAGTAAACACAACATACTGGACTTCAAGGCGATAAATGAGGAATGGGAAAAAAATCCAGGTTCTTCAACTTATCCATCATTATGTCCATAGCCCAACAGAAGAAGAAGATCTGGATAAAAAAGTAGCATTCCATGACCAACTGGACGAGGCATACGAAAACGATATAAAAATCGTATGTCCCTTGAATGCCCAAATAGGCCGGAAGGGACAGTTTCTGGAAACCATAAGCAGACACTCTATTACCCGCAAAACGCGATTGAAAAGTAAATAATACAATTTGAGGGAGTGAGACAGTGAATGGGTAACTAAAAAAAAAAAAATACGGGACTTCGTGTGAAAGGTTGCCGGCTAGCTTCCAATGCGGAGAGGGGTGTGGATCAATTAAATAATTAAATATAAAGCGCCACCTGTTTTTCCCTGCAGTACCCGAAATCAACCGATATAACGAAAGCAGGAAACTTCTACGGACCTATAGCAGCACAACCTGAAATATAAAAGTAAACAAGAAGGAAAGGCAGAAGTGAAACGCTTTGCTACAATCAGGTACGGGTTTTTGATTAGAACCAGAACAGGTTTGACTCTAGAGCAGATTCGGAGGGGTTTTCCGAACGTCCTGAAACACTGAAAATTATTGACACTGGAACAAGAACAAAATAAATCGACTAGGAGTACCTAACCTTACGTTCTAAAAATAGTATTTAGAATAATTTAACTCAACTTGAGTCCCTATATAAAGAAGTAAAGAGTATTGTATAACACTTATAACAGCAAAAATACCTGAAATGTAAATTAATAGACAAGCTAACTAAATGCAGTACCTTCGTAAATGGCCATTTAACCCCAGTGTAGAAGTATTTTCCTGTATTCAGTGCAGCATGTATTCATGGGATATTAGAGAGATATAGATCATTAATTAAAGTTGAAGTAACAATACGTTACCAGAAGGGCGAATTTAATATTATGGAATAATATAGGTAATATAGATAAATAATTAAAATTGAAGTAACAACACTTATAGTCCAGGAGGTGGTGCCAAAAACATGCAAGAGTTTTCGCAAGGCGGATATTTTCAAAATAGGTCGTACTTTAGTGCTAGAATGCTAGTGTACAGTCAGCACTCACAGTTCCGGGACAGCTGGCTCTGGGACGCGGGCAAAGTTGTAATTTTAAGAACCATCAAAACTGTTTTCTCAAAGCTCAAAATTTATAGAAATTTTGTACATTATCTGTTTGAAGGTCACAGATAACGTATGTAAATCGTCAAACGTCTAGTTCGTTGCAAAAAGGAGGTCAGACGTCCTCAAAGTTCTTATTTTATGGCATTTTCTTCGGTGTCCTGTCAAAATATATTTTTGCAGGTATTTGACAAATATATTTGAAGAAAATGCCATAAAATAAGAACTTTGAGGACGTCTGACCCCCTTTTTGCAACGAACTAGACGTCTGACGATTTACATACGTTATCTGTGACCTTCAAACAGATAATAAGCAAAATTTCTATAAATTTTGGGCTTTGAGAAAACAGTTTAGATGCTTCTTAAAATTACAACTTTGCCCGCGTCCCAGAGCCAGCTGTCCCGGAACTGTGAGTGCTGACTGTACACTAGCATTCTAGCACTAAAGTACGACCTATTTTGAAAATATCCTCCTTGCGAAAACTCTTGCATGTTTTTGACGCCAGCTCCCCAACTATTAACCTGAAGGGCAAATTTAATATTGTAGAAGACTGCGTCGCTGTGGTGATTTATTCCAACAAGGGGTTGGGTAAGGTTTGATAGGTTCCAGATATTAAGACAATAAACACAACACACTTATCAAACCTGAGTAGTCCCTAATCCCTTGAGGAGAACCTGTAGGATTGGATTGATATCTTCCAGTGTTTCCGATAGCCTGGGACTGGATCAGGGTCGCGACAAGAAGCAACTGGCCCTGGGCACTGGAGTTCAGTAACTAGAAGTCACTAAAACTTCCAATTGTCTAGCGGAGGCTAAATACAGGAGGTACGACTTGAAATATACAGAGTAAGCTTAACGTTTAACTCTTTACTCAAAGTTAAGGACTAAAGCGTGACGACCAAAGGCCTGAAAAAAATGGACGCTATGAGACTGGGCATGGAGCGATAGGTAGGTATGTCCAATATTCGGAATTTCACCATATAATTAACAGAAACCTATGCTTATACATAGGCAATAGACAAACACAGAGAAGACTAATAAGAAAAACCACTTACCAAAATACTTTGGCCTTTAGGAACAAACCATTGATCACGTTGCTCTTTTGCGGCTCACAAAGAAATTCGCGCAAGGCGCTTCGGTGCTAAAATAACGGATTAGCTGGGTAAAACCTTTGGTACAACTTCAGAAATTTTTGATAGGAAAAGATTACGTTTATCTACTGAACGTAAAAATTGACGACTTCCTATGAAAAAAATCTAGGTGAAATGTATTATTACATTATTTAATATAATTAATACCTAGGTGTGGTAACTAGGTAATTACCGCACGCGAGAGAAATTTGCAATCTCTAAGGGCGGTAATAGCCTAATTACCATACCTATTATACAGTATTTTATCTACAATCATGCGGTATTAATACGCGCAACAATATACCGTTGACTCCTACTGCAATAAATTAACTACCTGGATTAGACCCTATTTTATAGGCCCCAACCTCTTCGAAGCTCAATAAATGGAATCAGGGTCGGCTTAAACATTTAGGTACCTTTATACCAACCAACCACATTATTTATTTTCATAATTTAAGATAATTGGACATTTTTCGTTTAAGATAAGGCTAAAAGGAAATCAATTCCATTATTCAACCTCTAACTCGATGATTCTGGGAAGAATGAAAAGTTTGAAGAAAAGTGTGGCCCCAACTATTGGGAAGAACCCAGTGGCTTGACGAAGGTATGCTATTCAGTAAGGCGAATACGCTTATTTCCTTTGGCCCAGGAAAAATCATCCCGTATTGGAAAATTTGGTCTTGGTGCTAGAAACGAAAGGCGCCACCGTCTGCTCCAATTTTGTATTGATTACAGCTTCT